GTGGGAAGTCCAAGGACCATCCTCCTCCATCCAGGTCTAGTAAGGTGAGCATCCAGACTGCCTAGGCTCCCACAAAGCCAATACGTGCAGTAGGCTCAAAAACCCATTGCCCATGTTCTTGAGGTCTCAGTAGTCCTCATTGTCCGCTATGTTCAGCTAGACCGGTTTTAACCCAGGCTTTTTCAGACCCAGGCCAGCTGGCCTTGGTGAGTTCCCGATAGAACATCCCCATTGTCTCAGTGTGTGGGTGCACCCTTGAGCTAGTTCCAGGACAGGCTCCAAAGCCGCAGAGAAACCCTGTCTTAAAAAACCAAAAAAAAAAAAAAAAAAACATTTTTTTTAATACTAGAAATTTCTTATTATTTTTCTTATTCACTTTTTTTCATAACGTGGTTAAATTGTTTAGTTTTTTAATAACTTTATTTAGTTTGTTTCCTTAAATGCCTTTAAATTCTGGTAAAAGTATGTTGCCAGCTTTTGATCTTCATTTTTATTTCATAGTACCTATAGTTGAGCACATACTCTCCTGTATTTTATTAAATGCAATTGGTATTATAACACCAATTTGAGAATACAAAACATAGACAACTCTTTCCAATTCACATTGAGCAACCATAGTTATCAACCATAAAACCAGCTGGAAAATCAAAAGGCAATTATTCTCCACATATTTCCTCATTTCTTCAATCCATTTCCCATTTTCACCCCCAGATCCCAGTCTTCTCTAAGCTAGCTATTAGGATTTGTTTGGGGAGGAGACTTGCTTCCTGCTTAAGAGAAATTTCCCTTTTAGGTCTCACTCCAAATTTGTTACTCCTACTCTGCCTCAGTTGTACTCCTTGTGTACCTCAACTTTCCTGGCTGACCAAAGGATTCCTTCCAACTCAGGGATAGGGCTTGCTGCCTTGGATTTCACTTCTCAGGGAGTTTCCATTGCTTTTTCTACCCTGTAGAATTGGTAGGAGCAAGAGTTCCTTATCATTGGCATCTTTATGATCAAGAGCTTATATGTATTGCAAGGGTGCAACATGCAATAAAAGTCACAGGAAAACATAGAATTAGATATCGAAAAGGTAGCAGGACCAAATGTCAAGATTTTGTCAAAGAAAAGATCTGGAAACAAACGTAAGTAATTCAATTAAATAAAATGGTATTCAGTCAATTCAGAATAAATAAACTGAACTTCTGCCAAATCAAAGGAAAATCTGGGTCCCAAAAAGAATGTCCTCCCAAGAAAACATGCTTGATTAGGCACACAGGCTAATCATACAAGCCAATACCTTGTTCAAACCCAGTAGATTGTTTAGCTCAAGATGAACCATGCTGAGGAGCAATATCTATCAACATGAAACAGCTCTTACTTCCAAGGAAATGTGAGTCTATTCTTGAACTAAATGTGTGTGACCATGGCCTAGGAACATGGATTCAGCTTGCCCCCAAATAAGAGGCTTCTCTATGGAAATGGTTTCATAAACTTTTCATAGAACAAAAAGATAGCAATAAACCAAATCATTTTTTCAAATACATTGGTGGGTATATCATGCATGTAAATGGAGACTGCACATTCATTTCCCAGCAGCCTAGACCCAAATAATCACATAGAAACTCTTTTAATTACAACACCGTTTAGCCTATCAATTCAGGCACTTTATTAAGTAACTCTTCTTTCTTAAATTAATCCATTTCTAGTAATCTATATATCACCAGGAGTTTGTGGTCTACCAGTAAAGTTCCAGCGTCTTGCTCCTTCAGTAGCTGCATGGTGTCTCCCTGATTCTGCATTCTTTATTCCTACATTCAGTTTAGTGTTCCTGCCTAACTCAGGGCAAAATGGCTTCTTTATTAATCAATAGTAATAAAACATATTCAAAACATACAAAGGGGAATCCCACATCACATGTAGGTGGTTATAGCAAAGTAGGCCAGCTCTCTTTTATGTCTCAGAACTATCTGATGACATTCTGAGATTTGGGTCGGTGGATGGCAGATGGCTAGTTTGACTCATTTTGAAAGATGTTACATGAAAATCTCAAAAATGTTAGGTCAGACATAGAAATCATCAAAGGAATGGCTTTTATGGGGGACCATAAATGACCCATAAGATAATTGGGCTGTGGCTCAGTTATACTAGGAATCTCCATATTCATGAAGTTTTGATATGTCAATCAGCCCTATGGAAACCTTAACACGGGTGTGACTTTTGTTGGGGTTTGGATCGAATTTTGAGAGTTTGGATCATGAAGTGAATGACATGAAGAATGATTCACATCACCATCAGGAACAGGAACAGGAGGTGATTTGGGTGTCCCTGAACTCAAGCTTCCAATTAGCAGGGAGTTACTTTACTGTGACTGTAGAGAGCTTGTCCTACAGCAACACAAATATATTGTTTTATAGTTTTAATGATATCAGTGGTGTTCCAATTAGTATGACCATAGACCCCCACTTTTGGAACTCGGATGTCTGAAATCAGATTCAGTGGATGATATTAAAACAGTCATCACTGTCTGTTCTTTGTAGGACCTCTAGGGTGGTGCCTATGCCCTTGCTTCTTTTTGTATTATAATAGAGCATTTCTCATGGGGCTCCTCGGCTCTGGGCATCATCTACCAGCCTCAACATGAGTAGTTACAGAATCCAGACTCTCTGTGAATTTTTTGTTTTTACATGGCTTATCTTTTTTTTTTTTTTTACTTTATTTAATCTATGATTACCTGTACTCAGTCTCTTTAAAGACTTTACCCTTTTTAGGCATTGACTTTACTTTATGACTCTGTATACTCTTTATCTTTTCTCTCTCAAGCCTACATACATTTATTCAACACTGTGACCCATTTAGAGAGGTCTTTTGTGTCTGAATCTGTCCTATTGCATTGTCTTTAATTCTCTACTGTCTTGAAGAGCTTTAAAAATGCTAAGCACCTTGGTTGCAGCTGCTCTGGATGTTGCCTCCACCTCTCTCCAATTTCAAAATGGTGGATCTACCATTTCTGATAGCTCTGGGGCTGCCAGGTAGGAGCCACACTCAGCATTTTAACTCTGAGAATGAGTGTGCAGCACATAAACTCTTTTTATCTGAGTTACAGTCAAATCTGCCACACAGAGCACGGTGCAGCCTGGAAACATCTCTGTATGGCAGCGGGAATCTGCCATGCTCTCCCACCTGCCCAAGCCTGATCCCACAGTCTGCCCAGGCAGGAAGAGCTGAGCCATGGGCATGATCTCAGATACTTTCCTCCCAACCCCGAGTAGGCACAGAAACACCCGGACCCACAAATGCCATTAAAATGCTTAATAGCTGGCATTCACACTGGTGGCACAGCCCAAGAAGCCATGTTTTAAAACCACGTGGCTTTTTTTGTGGTATGCTGCTGAGTCAGGAAAAACTTTCTGCAGCACACCGCTAGCTGTGCTAAACTCTATATTTGTGTCTAGAATTCCTTTTCAAGCCCTTTCTGGTTTTACATGGAGTTAGTTTACCACTCTGGAACACCAATTGTTACAAGGAGAGAGGGCCTCCTGTTTGTTCCAGGAAATAATCACACAGAAATTGTATTAATTAGATTACTGCTTGGCCCATTGGCTCTTTTTTTAGCATTTAACATTCCAGTGATACCTTTGGAGTCATGTAGGAAAAACATTAGATAGATAGATAGATAGATAGATAGATAGATAGATAGATAGATAGATAATAAATCATATCATTTTAATCATGCATAATTTCAAGATATCAGAATTAACATTGTAATAGTTTTTCTTATCTCTGTGATCCATATCTGACAGAAAAAGATCAAGGTCGGAAATTATTTACTTTGGCACATGGATTCAGATTTCAAAGCAAAGTTTTTGGTTCCATTGATTCTGGACACTGAGGGAGAATATCAACATAGCCACAGGAATCTGGCAAAGGAAATACCTCACCTTCTGAGACAGAGAGGAGAGAAGACCAGGGATCATTCCAGAACTTCCTGCAGTCAGACTCAACTTACTGAAGTTTTCAAAAAACTGCACCCCCCGCCACAAAACAGTGTCAGCACATAGAGACTAAGTGCTCACTGCACATACTTCTGGGAGACAGTTCATACCCAAAACATAACACACACTGAAGCTGAATTTCAACCACTGGATGCAACTTTACATACTGGTTTTTAGTTGATTTCTAACATGGGGTTGGAGAGATGACTCAGTATATAAGAGTGCTTACTATTCTTCCAGAACATGAGTTGAGTTACCAACCAGATCTAATATAGAGTGACTCAAACTCACAGGAATAAGGCTTCAAAACTGCAAGATGTTGGGTGAGAGGACCTGTAATGAGAAATGAAGAAGACAAAAAGCAAAAAATAAAAAACAACAATATCTGGGAACAAGAGGCCTTGCATAAGTTGAAGCCTTATGCCAAGCAAATTTATCAAGATATATTATCACAGAAAGAAAATGTCCAAGATCAGCAAAGAACTAAATCAGACAGTGTTCGAAAAGAGGACACAGAATACCACAGACATCTCTGCCTAAGGTCTGATAACCACAGCCCAGACAGAAAAGTTGGTTCCCCAAAGCCTCCACTCCTCTGACGCAGTTTCCAGTCACAGAAACTGGACTTTCCAAGTCAACTGGACAAAGACAAAGAACTCAAGTTTCCTTTGTCCTTTCATCAAGGGTTCTGAGAAAAAATATCTTATCCAGAGAACCATCAAAAGAACTAAACCAAAGACTTTAAAAAAAATCAGAAGTCATATTATTATCATTTATGAGTAACATGGTTTTGTAAATTTCAAAACATAAAGACTTCACACACACACAACACATGCACACATGTATACACACACAGATGTACACACACACACAAACACAATGAAAAACAAATCCAGTCAAATTACAGGATAAAAAAATCATATAGCTATCAATAGTAACTATATTATAATGAACTTTCTGAGAAAGAAATTATATTTGGAAGAGTTAGACAATATCAAGCCCTTCAGAAAACCATCTGTATCCTAGTCACATACTGCAGTCATTGGCCTCTCTATAAAAAGCATTATGGTATCGTGATTTATCATCCCACCTCTGTTTGCCAGTGTCAATTATTAGGTAAGTGTTCAGCAGTGCAAATGAACATTCATCAGATGTACTTTGTGCTCCCTGGTCAGTACATAAACTCAACTAACCATTATTGTAAAGGTAATTCTTAAAATAATCTATTTTGATATAATCTTTCTAGTATTATTGTTTGACAAGTTTACAGTCCCTAGGAAATGTTAACCAAAGTTTTCCACTCACCCATTTTCTAATTTGTAGGTAGTACCAAAATCAGGGATGATTATTTTTTCCTCCCAAAGGCCTTTAAAAAAATCAGCCTGGGATTGCTTCACAATATGTTCAGACAGGAGATTGCCAAGGAACCTGGGAAATAAATCCATAAATGTTAATGGCCTGCAGTATCACGATGATCTGGGTGGGGGAAAGATCCAAAAGAAGCTTATGATTCTGAAGCTTGGACTGATCCTCCAAGATCACAACATTGATAAGAACTCAAATGTTTCACTGTGAAATTTGTAGACCTAACAAATCTTTATGAACCTATCTTTATGCCTGAAATGCTTGTAACACATAAACGGAAGGACTGCTCATGCCACCTGGCAAAAAACGTTCAGATATTTTATTCATGACAAGTGAAATAATCAGAGATTAAATAATTGGATGCCTTTGAGCTTAGAGTAGAGGTTATTTGAAGGATTAGAAAAGAGCAATCGCACGTGAGGACAATAAGCTGTGAAACTCTGACAGGCTTCTGTGTCCATGTGGTGGTTGTTTTCTTTTTTCATTTTATAGCCTCATATTGATTTGCAGTCTCAAGGCTTTTAAACATTCTATAAGTTGTATATTTAAGTATTAAAGAGTTTGATAAATCATAAAGGAGGGGAAAAGAACACTATTCCTACCATGTCTTGAAATCTCATTTCTGGCCCAACATTGTTTTCTAGGGCACAAGCCTGATGCCACATGCACTCAGTACTTCACTCAAATGACTGAAATAATGTGATTTAAGTTTTGAGTCAAGTGGGGAAGAAGAATTGTTTCTAGTAAAATGATAAACAGGTTGAAGGGAAATCTATGCACGACACAAATGTAGGAAGCATGAAGCAGATCAGTTGCCAAATATTTTAAAGTAGTTCCAAGCAGATGACCTCACAAATGTGTGCAGTGGTTTTATTTTCGCTCTGCACTATCAGGAAACAAAGTGGAAAGTATAGACAAAACACTGAGTGCTCTGTTGGCAAGCTAAACCTTATGAACCAAGGATCATATCTTATAAAGACTTTAATCCACAGTTAATTTTAGAGAGGTCGCTACATGTCATAGCTTAGTTGCATGAAATAAACACGAAAGCAATGACAGAGTTTGTAAAAAGCCAGAGAACTCAGAGGTGATGAAATATGTCTAAATGGAGAATAGTAAGTGAATAGAAATCAACCCACAAATGCATGCATTTAATTTTCAGTGCATGCTTTTAACATCAGCTTATTGATCACATGTAAGCAAGGACTACTTTTTACAATTATTTAAACCTCAACCCTCAATATGAGCAAGGATGGTATTGTATCAGGCAAAATTATAGTTATCAAAAGGCATATCTACCATGGGGCTAACTTAGCCATGCTGAAGGCAGGAGTGGCTCGAGGGGTGGGGCATGAGACCCAGGAACTATCTAACCAAGACTCAGAACCCCCTTGAGCTATCCTGGATCTGGAAACCCTACAATGTGAAAAAGAAAAAGCCATCTTAATCTCCTTAGGTTAGTGCAACAAAATTGTGAAACTTGGTTACCTTATAAACATCTAAAAATATTTCTCCAAGGTCTAGAGGTCAGAAGTCCTCCAGCAGAGCTGGGCCCAGTCAGGTATGTGAGCACTAATGTCTGGGTGGCAGACTCCTTACTTCCCTTTAGATCTTTACATTGAAGAAATCAGCAAGAGAGGCAGGGACTGGATGCCACTCATGGTGTGCTTGCTCAGCGTGCATGAGGCTCTGGATCACTCTCTAGTACCACAAATTCACTTCACAGCCCATATCATCCCGAACTCACCACTTACTTACACCTTGTCACTGCGGGCTAGAATTTTAGCATGTTCATTTTGAGAGCAAACAAAGATTCAGTCAATTGAAGAAACGTTCATCTCACTATATAGTTCACTTTTGTTACCTGATCTCAATATTATTTGAATTATTCATATTAGGAAAAGGTTTACCTACTCCTGTCAGGAAGAGATTTTCATCTTATCCAGAAGTCATCTTGAATGGAGCCATGGACGGATGTGCAATCTGATGAAACTGGTTTCAATGATGGCAGATGTTGTAGTTGGTACATTTCTTGGGCTAAGAACAGACTTATAGACTGAAGAGATGACTCATTGGCTAACAGTGTACACTGCTCTTACAAAGGACATGATCTCTATCCCGAGCTCCCATGTTAGGTGACTCACAACCAATAGAACGTCCAGCACCAAGGGATCTGCCACTCTCTTATGTTCTACTATAATACCTGTACTCATATGCACAACCTCCCTCCTACACTTTCACATAATATTTTTTTGTTTAAAAATAAAACCACAAAGGCAAAAAAAAATTTAAAAAAAGCAGTCTTGTGAAGAGCTGGAAGCAATCACATAACTATTATTTTTTTCTCCCCCAGTATGTGTATATGTGTAGGTGTATATGATAGAGCAATTTAACTTGCCACAGAGAAAGAAATGATGAAATATTCTCTGCTGAGAAAACCACATTAAATCATTAGCTCTGGAATATGTTGAAAATATTCAACTGTGACACTAGTCTAGATGTAGCCCTACCTAGTGCCCATCGTCTTACCAAAGCTAGTTTTTCCCTTATAAATGAAAGAGGGAAAGAAACATCTTTTACTTGTGATTCCATTCTGAGAAATGAGCATTTCTAAAAAACCAAGCCTTCAAAATACATCTATCAGGCTTGCAGTTTCAGGGAAAAAAAAAGATCAGTTCTGCTGGTCTGTTTTGAAGATTGAAGACTGACTGGTGCATATACACTGCTTAGCAAATACTTGGGAAACTAAGTGGGTAGGCACGGCAGCTGTCTCCAAAGTGCCCTTTAGCTACCCGTATAATGCTTGATTTGAAGAGCACATTATTACATAATTATCCAAGAAAATACAATGAATGATGTTGCCCATTCAGAGAGTAAGGGGGATGGCATGTCAAGTATGTTGTGCAGCCTGTGTTTTTCCCCTTCTAGACACCAAATGAACCAGTTTCGAATCCACAAACAACTGTGACTCTGCAAAACACAGCTGTTTGGGCTTTGGCCTGAGCACCACTCTGTGTGTTATGTAATAGCTGTTGAGCAATTGAGCCTTTAACTCAAAAAAGCATTAATGCAAGAGAAAACAGTTCGATTTTTTCGAAATAAAAATCTATAAGGAGAGAGAGAGAGAGAGAGAGAGAGAGAGAGAGAGAGAGAGAGAGAGAATATTTTAAGAACATAGAAGTTCTGATCCCAATTCAAGCAAGATGAACAGATACTCAAGGACCTGCTGAACCTGGGGAGATGGTTGGTGTCATGGATCTGGATGCCTCCTTTTTAACATGCACAAGTCTATTTTTAAAAATGTGCCTTTATTTTCTTGTTATCTGTTGTTCATTTTAATTGGCATAGAACACATTGAAACAGAATTGGTACGTTCCAGAAAGATGAAAATATGAGGGAAAGTCTGCCAATGCCAGGATGAATAAAAGGTTAAACATAACTTCTGCGAATGTAACTACTCACGCAGAGACACTAAGCCAATCGTCAGCCTATGTAGGGATCATCTTATGGTTATCAAGGTGGAAATGGAAAGGAGGAATAACAGACTGGGGATGCTTTGCCTGGAATGAGATTTCAGCCTTATCCTGTGAGGTCTGTGATCATAAGCTGTAGTCCACTCCCTGTTCACCAAATGAGAAGCTCAGGTCAGGGTCGCAAGAGAAACAGGTTCCCAAGCTCCTGTTCCTGCCCCTAGCTAAGTCCCCATGCCATGCAGGGGAGATGGCAACTTTACTACAAAGAGGTTATCGCTAATTCTTAATAACCAGAGCATCCAAAGAATGTTATCTAGTTCCTTCCGTATCTTGTGCTGGAGCGTCTACACAGAGAAGCATTGTGTTCAAAATGAAAACACTAGAGGTCAAAATGGTCCTTTATGATATTCTGGGCTCAAACCATTCCGAATTCAAACTCTTTGGGAGTGATATTTACATTCTTTCCTGCTACACTGCTTAGAGTAATGACTTACAAGCGTAGACATTTCCCAAATCAGACACTACTTTCTCTTTAAACGAATTTTCACAGAAGCCTTGGACATAACGCTCTTTGAGGGTCTATGACAGTGACCTCTGATTGAGAAGTCCTTCACAGTGTCACAGTGTTCTGTTCCCACCGAAAAGACATAGACAATTTGAGGATTCTGGTATGAGATGAGGTTGCCGAATTTTTTTAAGTCTAGAGAGGTGGGGTTTCTCTTTAACAGCACCCTGATCTTCTGGGACAAGAATGGATTTGCTAGCAGCCGTGTCCTGCAGCTTCACGGCCCTCTGGACACTAGGGAGAACAGATGTTGTTTTAGACTATTCTCCATTTCAAAATCTTTCATACCCAGAATGTTAGAGAAGAAAAAGTTACATAATAACCTAACAAAGCATGAACAGGCAAGGGGAAAAAAAATAACTGGCTTCCAGCGTCAGGAGCAGCTGCACACACACCCTCAGCACAGGTTTGGCTTTGTAAACTAATTCATCTGTAAATAGTGAGCAGTCTCCAGATGGAACTTCAGGGCCGAGGTGCAGGTTCCTTAAGGATTCACATTTAAAGGCAAAGGCTCCCTGCCAGTCTTAGGTGTTAGAAGAGAGTAGTGTTCTCTCTGCCCTGAGTCTGCCCATCCAATCATATCCTAATATGCAAATGACCCTTAGTGCATGCAGATAAAAAGGAGCAAAGGCCCTAACAGAACCAAATTGCTGAGCCTGTCACCTGTGTTCCAGGAGCCAAACCAGCAATGTCTTCCCCTGCACAACCTGAAATCCCTGCCCCGCTGGCCAACTTGAAGATTCAATATACCAAGGTAAGACAAGGGCTTTCCGTAGGCACCTGACTAAAGCATGGTCGATTGGGGCTTTTTTTTTTTTTTTTTTTCAAACAGGAAGACAAAAAGCTTGCAAAGCTAGTGGCCTGATTCAGTGGTGAATTTTAGACCATATCAGACAACTTCTCGTAAGTTTGTATCTTGACATACATCCAAGGGAAAAGAATTTTGCTCTGTGTGAATGGTTCTTGTGCCAGAGTGCAGTGAACCAGAGTGAGCAGCAGGTCTATTAACCCTATGCAGTGAGCACTTATGGTGAGAC